AGGGATGGGGCTGGTGTTGTGGGGGTTTGTGTTTTGGTTCCTTGTGGTTGTATCCTGGGTTTTTTTGTGGCTATTATTTAGGTAAAAATGGGGGTTGTTTTTGGCTAATAAAAGGGGGCAGGGATGGGGGGTATAATGTGTGGTTTTGGACTTATGGGTTTGGGTTATTTGTGAGGGAATATGGGCAGGAATGAGTGGCTAGTGGTGGGTCAGGGTTTTGGCTCTTTGTGGGTGTTTATGTTGGGATTGTGAAGTGTATTTTGGCCAGGGGTGAATGAAATAGAGGGTGGGTTTTATTTGTTGAATAAAAGGCTTAAAAGAAGGAAAATAACAACAAACAAAAGGTTTTATTTTATACAACATTATTTTCGGCCAAGGGCTAAAATAAGTGTAGGAAAACTTTTATTTTGAAAGGAATTAAATGGAAAGGAGTTTTGGATGTTTAGGGTGGGGTTTGGCGGAGTGGGAGTTGGTTGGCAGAACCCTTAGGTCCGAAGTTATTTTTGGCCTCTCGGGTTGAAGGACTTTGAATTCTTACTAAAATGGATCATAATGTTTGAACGTAAGTCCTTCGGTTTTTATGATGGTGTGGGACATGGGGGAGGGTATGATAGGGCCAGGCCCGGATATAACATCCTCCCGGACTTCAAAAGAGTTTGTCCTCAAACTCGGAAGATCTTCAAAATCCTCGTACGGGCTAAGATCCCTTCGATGGAATGTGGCAGTGATTTTTAGGCCTCGTGTAAGATCGACCGCGTTGGAGTTTTTGTGAACCTTTGCCAACACTTCAAACAGACCATCGTCTTGGGGTTGTAGCTTTGACTTGCGTTTATTAAATAAACGCGCCTTATGAACGTGAACACATACTAGGTCGCCGGGCTAAATGGGCCATTTCGAGTCACAATTCTCCTCAATCTTTTCTTCATACGGGACCTGCAAAAACTCAACACGTTTGGTACAAAGTACTGTTAACGAAGATAGGTCTCGAGCAGAGATTTCCGCGTCAGGAGTGACGGCTTCTTTGTGGGTCTTCTCTTCTTGATCTTCTTCTTTCATCTCTGTAACCCAAAACGGGTTATCCTCTGCGTCTTCAAACACTTCTTCCTTCTTTTTGACAAGTTCGTCATCCCAAATGGGATTATAGTCCTCGTCATCATATTCATCCCAAATGATCTTTGGGGTAGTGGGCTGCATGGTTTCGGTAGTTTGAGAGTAAGGTAGATCGGACTTAGAAAATTGGGGAGCAAAGGTGGGGGTTTGAACCATGAAGAAAGATGACTCTCCAAGGGTACTCTTGGGGGTTTGTGGTAGGCTTAAAGACACGACTTTGGGGAGGGATTGGGGTGGGGGTGTTGGACAGGAGTTGGGGGTGTGATGGGCAGTGGTTAGGAGAGGTAAAGGTATGGTTTTGGGTTGCTGTCGAACCGCGGGAGTGGGAGTGAACTGGGAAGTATCTTGGGTAGGAGTTAAGGAGGGAGGAGGTGTAGTTTTAGAGGGGATTTGGGGTAGGGGCGTGGGGCTGTGGTTTGAGACCATTGGGGCAGGGCTCAGGGAAGAGAGGGGTTGGTTTTCAATTGAAGCTTGAGGTGTAGGTGTGAGGGGAGGAATGGAGAGGGTTGGGAACATACGTAGGGTGCTTGCTCTTGGTGTTTTTGGAGGGGCTTCATGGTGTGGTTTTTGTGGAGACAAAGGTATGGTTGAGGTATGAGTTTTAAAGGGGCTTGAGGGAACCATGTGATGGTAATCTCTTGGCAAAAATCTCTTGATCAACAGCTTCCTCATTTTCTCCCAAGTTTGCACTTTGGGTTTTCCTTCGAACTTTCTCTGAGTGGAAATATTTGTCCACCAAGTGGAAGCATTTCGTTGGACACGGGATGCTACGAGCTTGACCATTTTGCCTTCGGGCATATCCTTGAGGATTAGGATATGTTCAACCTTCTTGAGCCACCGTAGGAACTTCTCCGGATCGTTTCTTCCCTCAAAGGTCGGAATATCCTTCGAATTGGTGAACTCTCCAATCTTTGACATCAAAAGATCAAGATCTTTCTTTAGCTTCATTTGGTCAGCAGCAATGTCTTCATAGAGCAAGCTTTGAAGGATGTGAGACATGGTTCTAAAAGGAAGGTGGTTGTGGTTTTTATGGCTGGGGGTTGGTCGGAATGATGATGAAGGAAAGGAGAAAGAATGGAAGTGTGTTCTTGGTCCTTTGGGATGTAGGAACAAGAAGCTCTGATACCAGATGTTATACCCGAACCGGGGGTCTTAACGAGTTGTTATTTTGAGAAGGAATTAAGGGATGATGCAGCTTGAGTTCAAGGTTCAGGAGCAGGTGATAATCGATTATGGCCAGGTGATAATCGATTGTGGAGCTGTGCTGCTAAAACCCAGAAACTTC